TTTTCAGAAAGTTGAAAACACGTTAGAATAATGTTAGAGGGTCTCCACTGCTTTGAATCAGAGAAGTTATATGAAGAAGTTTCATTAATATATGGATAAGATAGAATATGGTTGACAAATGTCACCATAAAAACGTTAAAAGATCAAATGACGTGGATTTAGATATGGTGGTGTATTCTGATCACGTAGATGTGATTTAGTCAAAGAGATAAGGACTCATATATCTGAAGGAGGCTAAGAATGTAGTAGAAAAGTTTGTGATGATAAAAAGAATATGTGTATTGTGATTCGAACAATGATTTTACTAGAATAAGATTTGCTCAAGTAGTGTGGATTATCAGAATTTTGAAGCTATGATAAAGATGGGCAATCAGAGATAAGTATAAGTGATATGAAAAGAGTATGAGAGCATAAAGGAAAAGATATGATTTTTGTTAGCAAGAGATCTTGATTTTTGGAAGTAATAAATAGATCAGGAAATGAAAGATGGAATTGAAAGGATCAAGTATGTCAAGAGTGATATTGAGGTGAACATTTATTATAAAAGTAAGAAATGTTATATAAAAAGATTGTTTGATTTCGTAAGGTATATGCCATAATTATATCTGATGAAGATTTAAGGTTGTGTTTATTGGTCAAGTAGAAGTAGTTATAAACGGATAAAGATTTATTTATATGTATTAAGAAAGTTTAAGATACAGTCGAATGATTATATTCCCTTTGATCAAGTTGTTAAGGAAATGTATGTTATTTTTGAAATGAAAATGGATTAAAGGCTGAGTTATTATTGTAAGGCAATTAGAGAATGATGAAAGAAATCAATTAACTAATGATCGTGAATGGTAAGGATTGTGATTTCTGTCTATGTGATGGGTGACATTATATGGATTTATAAAGGTTGAATGTAGATGAAGAATTGAGTGAGGAAAAGGTAAGTCTATTAGAGGTAAACAGGAAAGATTAAGTAAAGGAAGCAACATGAGAACATTAGAAGATATGTGTAGGCAGTGTTCTTATCGATTTGTGCAGTAAAAATTCGAGGACGAATTTTCTTAAAAGGAAGGAGATTAGTAACATCCCAAAAGTTGAGTTAGTGACTAAAATGAAAGTTTTTGAAACTTAGTGATCAATTTTGGAAAAATTTAAAAATTCAGGGGTTTAATTGAAATTACTTTGTGTAGGACTGATTAGTGAAGAAGGAAAGATGAGAGGGTATATTATTCTTTTCCCAAGAAAGATTTTTATCTTTCCTTTTGGTGGGTATAAAACACGTGGAGAAGGAAGAGCAAAATAGAAAGAAAAGTCTGGAAACTTATGAGTTCAACTAGCTTCTTATTCTTCTCTTCCTGTGACTCCATAGCTAAGGTGAAAATGCTTTCAGTTGGTTAATTCTTGTAAGTTTTGAGTTGGTTTTATTCTTGGGATGTTAAGAAAGCTTAAGGGAAGTTTAGAGTGGCTTAACACTAAAAGAATTTCAAGTTATGGGTGATTGAAGAAAAATGGTTTTTAAGTGCATTGATGAGAAAATGTTAATAAATGAATTTAGAAGTCATATTTGACTTGTCAAGGGTTTAATTAAGAAGTTAGAAGTAATAGAAGTGAATTAAGAACATGTTGAAAATCTAGTAAGATTCTTGGTTTCAAGAATTATTATGAGATAGTGAAGATGATGATGTGTTATATGGATATATAATGATATGAGTAAGTATAGATGAAGTTAATGGTATGAAAGGAGTTCAAAATTATAAGTTTAAGTAAGCTTTGGTAAATTCTCGAGTTAAAGAAGGGTGTTCTGGGCATGAGGTATCGGTATACTGAAGGAACAATATCGATACCATATGATAAAATGTAATGAAATCTTTAAGAAGTATCGATACCTAAAGAGTGGTATCGGTACTGGTTGAAGAGGGTATCGATACCAAGTGTCTAGTATTGATACCATTATCATGTTACAAATTCAGAATATCAAAATGATATCGATACCGAGGTGGGGTATCGATACCATAAAAGTGTAGCATTTGTACTGTATTGGAAGTACCGATACTATTGAGTATAAAATGTTAAGTGTTTCTTTCAGCTTAAGTTATATTGATTGGTTATAAGCAATTTGAACTCCGATATTCATATAAGTTGTATATTCGTGTAGATATCGATCGAAGTCAAGCCAAGAAGATTCGAAGCTATAAGAATGTACAAGAGTCATAAGTATTGGAATTGGCTAGTGATGGCCAGGTGAGTGCATACTTGTAGGAAATATTACTTGATGGAAATTAGACTTGCGACCATTTTGTTTCTAAAATTTTTTAAAATATGATTGTATGTATAGAATAATGATTATGATTATAATGTGTGAACATGCCTTGTATGCATTATATGATATGTGATTATGTGAAGAAGAATATAAGCTATGTGGTTATGAATTATATGAACACATGTTATGTGATATGATATATATGACTATGAACTACGAGAATGCTATATGATCTATACAATGATCAGTTATAAGACTACATGTGAAATGAAATGAGTCATATGAGTACATGTATATATGATAAAATGGTAGACTATATGAAAATGTGAATATATGTCTATGAGAAGACATAAGAACAAGATATAAGAAAAGTGACAAGAAATATGAAATTATATGCAAAGTTGATATAAGCTATGCGAAAATTATATACGTGACTATATGTATATGTGATACAAGTTATGTGATATGATAAATATAAATGATAATGACCATGTTATGTGATATGAGAGCTAGGGGTATAGTTGGCATGCCAAGAGTCGAGGGTTTTATGTGGTCCTTCGGGACATATATGTTATATGTGGTCCTTCGGGACAATTTTATATGCCCCTAGTGGGACTTTATTCGAGCTATGGTGACAACATATGTGCACAACCTCTATGTATTCACATATCTTTAGTTCTCAGAAGTGTACATGTGCTATTAAAAGACATATTATAAATAAAGTGTATGTGATGTTATGTGTGCTTCTTGGTGCAATGTATTATATGTTTTGTATAAAGGATAAGTATAAGATTATATGATAAATGAGATTAATGATAATGATAAGATTATTGAGGATGACAGTGATTATATATGTATATGTATGCATTTTGTTATATGTAATATTATATGAGTGATATGATATGATGATATGAAATGTTTTTTGTATTGTTAAGTATTTAAGTTCCATTATATGTTTTATTATGCTTCACTAAATCAATGACTTAGCGTGTGAGTGTTTCACACGTAGGTTCCAAGAAGATGAAAAGGGATCGAAGATAGGCAAGTCAGGTCAGCTTCTCCTTTTTAAAGATCATATCAGAAAAGACTTGAATCATATGTATTTTGTTTTATTGAAACTAGTTGGCATGTAATTTAAAGATTTGAATCAAGTATGCTCTTATAGGTTTTGTAAAACCATATGTTTTATGTAATAGAAATTATTCGGTTTTATTGTAAATGTTTAATTGAATTTTTAGTTATTTTGTAAAATCAAACGATATGAAAAGTCAATGTGACAAATCGGATTCAGATCCGGTTCTAATACGGGTTGGGGGGTGTTATATGAGAGGTATTTTCTTCTCAATAGGAAATAATTAATTATTGTCATTTTTTTTCCTAAAGTTCAAAGAATATTATTTGAAGGGATATTAATTTAAATTGAATTTGAACTTGTAAGATTCATGCAATGACAACTAATTAATCGACTATGTATCGATTTAGGACGCTGTGGGGGTGCTAATCCTTCCCCACGCGTAATCAACTCCCGAACTTAATTTTTGATAAGCAGACGTTAAAATGTTGTTTTAATAAATTTTAATTTAAATGTTATTAAAATGACAAAACGTTTTGGGTGCCCAATCACACCCGAATCAAAGATTTGTGGCGACTCATCAAACCATATTTTATTTTGATTTTTAAAAGGAAACGCAAAATTAATCCAGCTAAGAAATTTATTAATCACTTAAAAATTAAATTTGCTTTCTAATAAATCATTTTGACAATAACACAAACTTGATAATGAAAGAAGGCGAAAATGACAAGATTGAAAAAAATCAAATTAAAAAAACTCGTTAAGAAAACGAGCAAACCCGATGAAAACATAAGCTTGTTAATGGAAGAAGAAAGCAAAAGTGTTGCTCATGATTCCATTATTGCAGACAATTCTAACATGTCTGATATCATATACTAAATGTTTGAATTTTTTTTCTAAATGCACCCTTTGTCGCTGTACTTTACTCACTCTACTTTTAATTTTTCTAATTTACTCATTTAATTTTCGAAATGTTCATATTTTGATCACTATAAATTATTTTATAAGTATTTTCATATGACGTGACATGTTTTATTACTATTTAATATAAACATAATTTAAAATATAAAATAAAGTCAGAAGGTGGTCGAACACCACCGTCGATCGCCATCGACCTCCGTATATGGTGGCTGTTAGATCTCAAATTTCATGGGTCGGTTCGCCTCAACCTCCCGAATCCGAATCTGGCGGTTGTTTCATCCAAAATTTCCCAAAACCAATGAGTCTCGACTGCAACATTTCAGCTTCCTCAGTTTCACTCTTCAATTTGTGGACTTCAGAGCATGTTCCGAAAAAATAGAGGTCAGATCAAACTCAAAGTGTCGAGACGAAGCGACCCGTAAAATTTGAGACTGAACGGCTATCATCTAAGACGGTCAACGATGAGCAATAATGGCGTCCGACTACCTTTTATTTTTATTTTATATTTTAAATTATTTTTATATTAAATGTCATCATATGAAAATAATAATAATAAATGTCATATCATATGAAATAATAATAAAATAATTAAAAGCGGTCAAAATATGAGTAATTTGAAAGTTCAATGAGTAAATTAAAAAAATTGAAAATATGTATCCGTTTATTTGCTGTAAACAAAAGTAATATGAGAAATCGAAGTCACAACAACAACGTATGAATCTTAAATTAGAAGTAGTATAAAGACCGCCGATGCATTTAAGTTAAGCTGTGATGCCTTTTGGAGGCGGTGATCCCCTTGCTCACGGCATAAGCCGCCGCAAGAGGAACAGTAGCAATCGCACCGACAACCGGAAATATAAACGTCAGTCGTTTAATATGGCCCATGATCTGTTTACTTTCGGCAAAGCCCGTCTTGCAATGCACGGCGAAGTCCTCGCAGTTGTTCGATAAGAGGTTGTAGCTGCCAAAGCCGCCGTGTTCGAGCAAATGGGCGGCGGAGGCGAGGACTTCGTGTGGTGGCCTGGCGGCGCGTATGCAGCACGTACCGTTCTTTTTGAATTTGTGTTCGAAATAGGAAACGCCATACTCATAGACCTTAAGCTTTTTGCCAGCAAGGAAGCAATAAATGCAGATTTTTGCTATTTCGCCATTGATAACCCCCTTGTTTATGCATTCCTTGCATGTATACGGTTGAATCTTCTTTGCCTTTCCAGCCAGATGAATCACCATATTGTCACCCACATAGATTCCTGAGGACTCAATTGAAAACATCAAAAAATTATTGGTTTAAAATGTAGTTATAATCTAGTTAAGATATTATTTTTAATTTCGAAATACTAATGTTTGTCTTGATCTATATTCAATTTTATTATTAATGGTTAATATATATATATATATATATATATATATATATATATATATATATATATATATAGGGTTGGTCCATTTGGCTGTATAGGAATGAGGTGCTGCTTAATAAGAAACCCTGCTGTGTGAGTCATTTGTTTGCGACTACCATGCTTAGGATTGGGTTGTGTTGTAAATGTAAATGGCCGTCATCAATTTCAAACATTCTGGACTTCACTCGGCGTCCTAACCTGCATATTGTTTCAAACTGAAGGGGCAGATAGCCATTTTATATGTCAGAATTTTGTATTCCTACGTAGTGGATATACCATGTCCTGTTGTACATGTTGGTGAGGGGTAAAGGAGTGAGATTCTGATTAAGTTATATCGTTGAGCATTGATAATAAAGTGCGTCATTTTGCTGGTGTGAGCGCCTTAAAAATAGATTTTGGAGAACTCTGGAATCCAAGAGGAATGGTTTCTTGGAGTATTTCAGGGGAGAGTTTCGATTGACAAATACATAACTTTAACCGTTTATTATTATTTATCCGATAATATATATATATATATATATATATATATATATGAATAAAAATTATATGAGAAGGAAGAGAAGCAAACCATGGTGATCATAGAGGCCTCCCCTTCTTTTGCAGTAGATGTGATCGCCTGCTTGAAGCTCACAAACCAACTTTTTCCCCATTTAGTATTTTTTATGATTTTAGCTGTACAACTATTTTCTATTTATAGTCCTTGTGAAACGTGTGATTTACAAAATGGAATTTACCAAGAAATTAAGTTGTGGAAAGAATTGCCAATAAACATTAGCCTCCGTTTATTTTGAAACTTCTAATTTGGTCCCCCCCAAATGATATTTGCAAGGAAATTACATCCACTTTTTGCAATTTTCATTATTATTTTCTTCAGTCAACTATCGGTCTTGTAATGGGATGTCTTTCGGATCCTTTTAATACTCTATAATAATTGCATGATAGTATAAATATTTTTAATCATTAATAATATGTACACATCCTACATATACACAGCTATTTAAACTCGACGTCTGAAGACAAGATAATTCTTACAACATTTGACAAGAAACAAAATCTTTTTTTTTTCTTGTTTTATAATAGACTAATAAAAATAGAATTGTATTGGATTTAGGATTATTATTTGATATACACGTTTTGAAAAATTTATTTTAAATAATCTATTTATTTTAATTTAAAGTTAAATAAAACACATGCCATTAAATAAAAAAATTGTATAAATCTATATATTATATATTTTAAAAAAATAAAATACGCGTCATTAAAAGAGAAAAGAGTTTTGAAAAAATATCTATTTATTAACCATTTGGGATGAAGAATTTTAGAAAAATCCAATCTTTATCATCAGAGTCAACCAATTAGTGTTGTCTGACGCGTAGATTTCCCCAAGTGGGAACTTGTTTCCGCACATATATGATTCAGGGAAAAAAAGATTTAATTCCAAAAAATAATTAATATATAATTCAACTTTAATTAATTATATTTTTATAATTTATTTGAATCTCATATTTAAAATTTTTTCTTGCCGTAATTTGTTTTTATTTTAATATCAAACATGGATATTTTTTTAGAAAATAAATAAAGAATCAAAGGAACATGAACGTAACATTGTTTTTGCCTTCGGAATATCAAATTAAAAAGCTCACATATGAAAGTTTATTGTGTTCATATAACGTGAGATAGAGATGGTAAAATGATTCAATTGATTTCTAGATGAATCTGGAAAAAAATAGACAAATTAGAAAAATAATATACATGAGTTAGGATAATTTGCATATAATATAAATTTCTAAAATTGTTGGATAAATGAAAATAGAGAATTAATATTATTTTTTATTTTTCACTAAATATCTTCTTATTATTCTCATACGTTTATTTTTTATGGGCTCATACGTCAATTTTTACTCATCTAATGACATAAAAAAATATAAAATTAAAATTTGATTGAAGAAATCCTCAGTGTAATAGATGACCTATAATTTGAACCCAACGAACCTATTAAAATAGCTTGGATCAAGTTTAGTAGCAATTGGGATTGAGTTGGGCCCAAGAGAATTTTAAAGGTTGTTGGGTCTGTTATGAAATGGAAAGTAGAGGGACTAAAGGTGTGATTTTCCTATTGATGTTTTGAAAGCTGAGAACCCCCTTACTTTATGGTGTTTACGTTAACTATTCCCATCATCATTCACCAAACTTTCTTCTTCTTCCTTTCATCTTTTTCTCTTTCTCTTCCTTTCTAAAACCAAGATATCAAGCATTTCAAATCTAGTTTGGCTTAACTAAGGTGAGATTATAAATCCTTATTCTCCTAGCTTCAATTCAAGCTCCATTTCTCAAGTTTTTAGTCATGGAAACCAAAATGAGTTTTTGAGAGGGTTATAAGAATTTATGGATTCTAGCTCATTTTGGGTAGGTTTGAGTTTTAGAGAGTGTATTTAAATTGTATACAACACTCAGTTGAGTTAGTAATCTATTTTTCTACCTTGTTTAGTGAAGGAGGTAAGAGATAGTTCCAAAGTAAAGGGGAAAGAAAAAGTGACTCATAGTTGATTCAGGAGAGGCATTAACAAGAAGGGAAATCAGGTAACACACTCACAACTCCTTAATACCTTTAGCGAGTCAATAGAAATGCAAGATAACATATGAGTTGAGTTTAAAGCTTTATGAGCATTTCCACTGTATATTTCATGATTTATGTTTTAAATATGTTTTAAAACCTTATTTATGGACCTTATTGATCACATAAGACACTAATAACAATTGGGAGCCTCAAAGTAGTAATGTAAGTAAAATTGAGTGCCCAAATAGGTTCATCTCGAGCGAGGATATCAGTATTGGAAGAACAGTACTGATATTGTTCTTCAAATCAGCCTAAATTTGTTTATGTTTTAAAAGCATTATCGATACTTCTTAAAGGAGTTTCGATACCCAGGGTCCAGTGTCGATACTCCAATGGTAAGTATCTATATTGGAGTATTTTTTAAAACTATCGAATCCAAGATTGGTATCGGTACTCATGGGAGTATCGATACCCCGAGTAGAAGTATCAATACTCCCCATAGGTGTATCAATATTGGGCATATTTTCAAAAATATCGAACCTAAAATTTGCATTGATACTCAAGGGGAGGTACCGATACTAAAGAACCAGTACCGAAATCGAATGACCAATATCAGTACCAGCGTACATTTTCAGGCTTTATTTTTTGAGAAATTTTAAGAGGACTATGAGGTTTCCCAAGAACTCTACAATTACTTTCAAATATGTTTTCAATTGGAAACATCAATAATAATTAATCACACTTAGAAACGATATCAATTAGGGTGACATAAAGCAAGCCTTGATTGATGCTCGAGAAACGATTAGAACACCCGAGTTCCTTTAGCAAAGATACCAGTGTCGAAGTATAGAATTAGTCCATATATCCTTAGGTAGTGTGTAAGGCACTTTAAACTGACTAACTACGACGTAAGGTCCGGCATTCGTAAGGGGCGAGTTAGTCGAGGGTGTTGTGTCCAATGTAGAGGTTATGGGCCTCATCCTCAGTATTTTAGAGAGGTGTGAACACTGCGATACATAATCATTCAGCCACACCATGGTGTATACCATATATTAGAGAGTGAGTATACGAGTATACTCTCTATTACATTTTTATCAGTTAGCTTGAGTATGAAATGAACTGATTTATATAAATGTTGTTGTTTTATTTCATGATGAGTGTTCATAAATGATTGTTTTAATTTAGCTAGTAAAAAAAATTTTGTAAGCCACTCCTGTGGTTCCAAGTGGCACTCTGATAGGTTGAATGTGGGTTATACTTGTTTAGGGTATTACATTTAATGGTATCATAGTGTCAGGTTTAGATGTTCTTAGGGCCCGTGGGTTAGGGTCAGTAAAAGTTTATGAATATACATGTCTCTAAGGATATAAAGAGTACTTCTACTTCTGAAAATGTGATAGTAACTCCTCTATTGTTTAAAATTTCAGAGTTGAGACATGGAGGAGAGCCCGTGCCACAATCAAGAGGGTAAGCACGAGAGTAGGGCTTCCCTTGTAGGAGATTTAGGTGATGATTTTGTCTCTCATACAGATTTTGAGGAGCCTATGAAGGCATGGATCGAGGAGGTGACCTACTTTACAGATCTAACTGATACTCTAAGGCGTATAACTAGAGCCTTACTTCGAATCCCCCTACCTTACCTACCCAGCCAGTTCAACCAGCCCCACCCGACGTAGTATCGTAGGAGTCCCCTATAGAGAGGGTTTAGAGGTATGAGCCATAAATTTCTTCAACATAGGAGACGATGACCATGTAGTGGCTGATCAGTGGTTGAGAGAGACTCTTAAGACTCTTAGATAGCTACACCTCACCCTTGAGGGTATTTTGGAGTGCGCCACCTCTTTGCTAAACGGTGACATTATAGACTGGTGGGAGACGATAGAGATGTCTTTGGAGCCTGAGCGACCTACCTAGGAATGATTCTTGGAGGAGTTTCTCCAAAATTACATAGGGAGGATCATAAGGATACTTTGAGAGAGCAGTTTACCCAGTTAACTCAGGGGAACCGTTTAGTGTTTAAGTATGAGGTTAGAGTTTCTCTGTTTGAGTCAGTATGCACTAAAGCTGGTTTCATCAGAGTACAACCACTACAGGAGGTTCAGGCAGGGCCTCCATTTAGATATTCTAACTCACCTAGCTGCTGATCCACCAAGAGTGTTTGTCGAGTTGGTTAGTCAGGCGAAACCAATAGAGAGGGTATTAGGTTGAAAAGCTGTTGAGGTAGAAACTACTTCTAGTTAGACCCGAGGGATGGCAGGGTCACCATGACCTTCACAGTCATCAAAGAGGATGAAGGATTCTCAGGGGTCTTAGAGGGCCTCATCAAGTTAGTCTAGTAGGTCTACTTATAATACGAGCAGATGTAAAGGTCGATCTAGTCAGCGTAGGAGATTGTTGGCCACCCTATCATCTGGAGGTTCTTCGAGAAAATAATTTCATCGCATTTGTCCCACATGTGGTGGAAGACATCCGAAGGTTTGCCGACAGGGGTATAGGGGTTGTTATCGTTGTGGTTCCCTGGACTACTTCGTGAGAGATTGTCCATAGGTGCAGGATATGACCCCAACTTTGACTTAGAGCTCAACACAGTCAATCCAAAGGGGTAGAAAATCCTAGAGATGTGGGAATTTTGCATCTGATTAGACTGTTACGGGTACAACCCGATCTGGGGCCAGTGCCAAGCTCAGAGTTACCGCTCGTCAATATGAAGTCCGAGCTCAGGAGGATTACGATGTTGTCGATGTAGTCATAGGTACCTTTAGCATATTTTATCTTATAGTCACTACTCTAGTCGACATAGGATCTACCCAGTCTTATATATGGTATGACCTAGTTCAAGAAAAGAATATTCCAGTTGAGAACCTTGAAATAGGAGTTCGAGTGTCCAGTCCTTTAGGATTGAATGTCTTAGTAGACAAGGTCAATCGTAGATGCCCTTTCGAAATTTAAGGTGAGACCTTTTTTGCTGATATTATGAAGTTGCCTTTTAGAGAATTTAATCTGATTTTGGGCATGGACTAGTTGTCAGAGCATGATAGGAGTCTGAGGTGTAAGTTTTTATGGCTTAAACTCATAAAAGATTATGAAACTAGG